TAATGGAGAGGATGCTGGGATGGTGAGTGCTGCTATACTGGACTCTAATGGTAGAGTATGTCACAGTTCATCACTGAATGTGTCCTTCAGTATTGTTAGTGGTCCAGGGAGAATAATTGGAGTGGGTAATGGTGATCCATCGTGTCATGAACCCAACCAAGCTCACTGGAGGAGTGCTTATCATGGATTAGCTAGAGTTATTGTCCAGGTCACTGAAGATCATACTTCTAAATACAGGGACCGTATGATAGAAATAGATAGAGATGGAGGAAAGCATACACGCATATTTGATTCCAATACAGTGGGTCCTAATTTAGATGGTATAGTAGTAGAGGTATCAGCTCCTGGTGTAGGTAGCTCTACAGTTACTATTCCTGTTACTACTGATGCTGATAATTATAATGTGCTAGCTGTAGCAAAGTCTACATTTGGTTGCTAAATTTGTAGTGGAATAGATGTAGCTTTTAATGCTAAGCCAGAACTACTTAGGATGCCATTACTAAATTCCTTATTTGCTATTTGCAGTTACTTTTATAGTGCTAAACATAATTGTATTTTTCTGCTTGCATAATTTTTGATTTTCTGAACACAATAAATAATAGCATTATTATATAACGATGCAGCTTTTTTAGAAAATTTGCATTGAGTAATTAAAAATGAATTTGACCTTTCTTGTTGTCAATCATGTTGTGGTTTGACACTACTCATTTAGGGAAACTGTTAATTTTGAGTTTTTAAGCTTGGTGAATAGGAATTATGTCGAAGTGTTCAGAAAATAAGCTTCTACAATCCATATGATCTTAATGATGTATACAGCACTAATTTAGAAAGGTTCATGTCAATCTTCAATGTTGAATGATTGTCTATGTTTTGTGGTGATCCAATATGTGCAAGTCATTAGAGAAGTAGGGGAAGAAAGAAGAACATTTCTTTTTTGTACTTAATGTGTAGACTACTATAGTTCTTTTTATTTCATTGATGCATTATATTGATAATATTATTTATTTTTTGTTTGTTTGTGATTTACTTATTGCTGCATGTTAAAATATAATTTTTATAGCCTAAAATTCATGATTGATATAACAATCATAGGCTGATAGTGAATTAAATTATATCATGAATACATTTATCTTGATTGTTGGTATAAACAGCTCCACCTTGAAGATTATATCCTTATAAGGTTAAATACATCCTGTTTTCAAGATGATGAGGCTTGCTGCTGTCATATTGACAATATTGTCAATCACAAGTTAGTATGTTTTATTAGTCGTGCACATAGTTGTGTTTTGCACTTTGTATTCTTTATTCAAATGTATGCTTTAAAGGCATGTATAAAAATATCTAGCCAATAACTCTTGACATTATATATATTAACTTAGATTTGTAAGTAATTGAAATTATTTATACATTTTAGTCATTGACCCAGTTAAATCTCAAGAATGTACAAGTCCATGTATCACTGTCACGACTACCTCTACTATCATTGTTGATCCCCCAACTGCCATTGATCCCTCCACTGTCAGCACTGCCACTCTTCCTCCCACCAGCATCACCACTCTTCCTCCTACCAGTACCACTGCTCTTTCCCCCACCAGTACTCTTTCCCCAACCAGTACCACCACTCTTCATCCCACTTTCAGTACCACCAGTGATCCTCCCACACTCAGTACTACCAGCACTACCACCAATGCCTGTACTAGTCAGGCGGGGCCGCCTGACTATGCCTGTACTACCATTGTTTCACTCACTAGTACCTGTGCAACTCCTACAATTACCAATAAAGGTGCTTTTATTTGAAATTTTGTTCATTATAATTTAAAAAATTTTTGTAGATGAATGTTTGCATGAAAATGGTTATTGTGAACACATATGTACTGATACAAATTCTTCTTATTACTGTTCTTGTTTTACGGGATACAGAATACATAGGACAAGATTTTGCTCAGGTTTCTAATTATATACAGGCATGGCATATATTGTATTTATAGATATTGATGAATGTGTGGAGAATATATCAAACTGTAATCAACACTGCAGCAACACACTTGGCAGCTACACGTGCTATTGTTACAGTGGGTATGAACTGGACAGTGATGATCAAACATGTATTGATATTGATGAGTGTGCTGTTGATAATGGAGGATGTGAACAAAATTGTCACAACACAAATGGTAGCTATTATTGTACTTGTAAAGATGGCTACACAATGGATGAAAACAGAAAAAACTGCTCAGGTAAACTATTATGCCAAAGTTTATTATTTTTAAATGTATTTTGCAGACATTAATGAGTGTGATGATAACACATGTGAACACCAGTGTGTTAACAAGTTGCCATTCTACGACTGCTTTTGTGATACTGGCTATAGATCCTATAATATAAATTTTTGTGAAGGTAAATTTCATTAAATTTTTGATATTTTTTATCAACAATAATAGATATTGATGAATGCACTGAAGACATATCAGGCTGTGACCAATTTTGTTCTAATACTCTTGGTAGCTATCAATGTAGCTGTGAAAGAGGATATGAACTAGACAGTGATTACCATACTTGTGCTGATATTAATGAATGTGTCATTAATAATGGAGGGTGTGAGCAGTTCTGTATAAATACCAATGGCAGTTATTATTGCACTTGTGATTACGGATTTGTATTGAATGATGATAATCGTCACCTTTGTGATGGTAAGTCACAATTTATTTATCAAATAATTTTTTTAATCATTGAGAAGATGTGGATGAATGTGCTATTGATAGTGATGCATGTAATCAGGACTGTGTCAATACTAATGGATCATACTTTTGCAGTTGCTATGCAGGATACCAGGCTACTAATAACCAAAAATATTGTATAGGTCAGTTAGTATTGAGGTCTATACTGATCATTGATGTATTGATTGCAGATACTAATGAATGTGCTATCAATAATGGGGGCTGTGATCAGTTGTGTGCTAATATTCAAGGAAGCTATTGGTGTTCTTGTAACACTGGTTTTGTTTTGAATGCTACAGATGGTCACACATGCAATGGTAAGTCGTGCATGGATCAAACAATAAGGCTTCATTATGCATGTACCTATAGATATCAATGAATGTACTGATGGTACAGACTTTTGTGAAGATAGGTGCTTCAACACTGAAGGAAGCTATGCATGTGATTGTAAACCGGGTTATCAGTTACAAATGAATAATATCTCATGCTCTGATATTAATGAATGCAGTGATAATAATGGTGGCTGTGATCATGAGTGCATCAATCAAGAGGGTTCTTACATATGCATTTGTGATACTGGATTTACAATTGAAGAAGATGGACATGGATGTTCAGGTTGTCAGAATATTAAGTTATTTTAAGTTATCATTATTTTGATAGATAACTCAAGAAATTGTATAGGAAATCCAAGTGCTTGTCAGCACAATTGTCATAATTATAACAACTCTTTTTATTGCTCGTGTTATTCTGGGTACAAACTAAATAATAATGGACGGAATTGTGATAGTAATTGAATAGTAAATGTGTGTCTTTATTGATATAAATAATTATAGATGTTAATGAATGCGAGGAAGGACTTCATAGATGTAATCAAAAGTGTCATGATTTAACTGGTGGATATGAATGTTCATGTAATGATGGCTTTCAACTGGCAACTGACAGCTATACTTGCTATGGTACTGTATTTGTAATATGGATGCTCAGTTTGTTCAATATTTATTACAGATACCAATGAGTGCTTAGCTAATAATGGAGGTTGTGAAGATATTTGCAATAACACGCAAGGAAGTTATGAATGTATATGTGAAGTAACTGGCTATGCATTAAGTAATAACAACCATAACTGCTCAGGTAAATTTCATCTAGAATAATGAAACTTTTCTGTTAACTGCAAATTAAATAGATATAAATGAGTGTGAAGAAGGCATATCAGGCTGTTCACAAACTTGTAGAAATACTGAAGGAAGTTATTTGTGTAGCTGTTTTGTTGGATATCTACTAGAACCTGATAATCATACTTGTACAGATATTAATGAATGTGTCATTGATAATGGAGGATGTGAAGAAATATGTGATAATAATAATGGCAGTTACTCTTGTTCCTGTCAAACTGGCTATACAGTTGATGATAGTGGTCATAATTGTACAGGTTCGGCTTTCAATGATATTTTAATACAAAAATATTTATGATGCATTTTTACAGATATTGATGAATGTAGTTCAAATAATGGAGACTGTGATCAGATTTGTACTAATCTTGAAGGAACTCATAACTGTTCTTGTAGATCTGGTTATATCATGGCAGCTAATGGAACATCATGCATTGGTACATTTGATAAAGATTAGGTATTTACATCTACATGCTCTTTTATTAGATATTATTGAGTGTGATGATGATAATGGAGGCTGTTCTCAAATATGCTCCAACACTGTTGGAAGCTTTGAGTGTGAATGCTATGATGGATATGACTTTATTGACAATAGTACCTCAGACTGTATAGGTACATTTAAAAATTTCAATAATTATTTAGTAATCACAATTAGATATTGATGAATGCCTTGTCAATAATGGTGACTGCCAACAAATATGTACCAATACAAATGGAAGCTATTATTGTTCTTGTATATCAGGATACAATGGCAGTGTTTTTTGTGCTGGTTAGTAAATTTTACTCTAATAGTCTACAAACATCTTTTTAGATATTGATGAGTGCCAATTGGGCATTTCTGACTGTAATCAGTCTTGTATTAATACTGTTGGTAGTTACTACTGTGAATGTGACTCAGGATACTCTTTGAGCAATGACAGTCATTCTTGTATAGGTTAATAAATTAAGTACAATTCTTTGAGTTATGTCAATTACAGATAATGATGAATGTGTAATGGGAACTGATATCTGTGATCAAGTCTGTATCAATCAACCTGGTTCATATAATTGTTCATGTAATACCGGATATTCACTCAAATCAAATGGGATTTCTTGTATAGGTATTAATAAAATGCATAACACTAACAAATGATTTAAAATTATATTGCAGATATTGATGAGTGTCAGATTAATCCTAAAATTTGTGATCAAAGTTGCATGAACACTGATGGTTCTTTTTATTGTGAATGTTACTCTGGATATAGATTGAATACTCGTACTAATAATACTTGTTCTGGTTTGTTTATTAGTATACATAACTATGCAATATTTTCCAATGTTTATATAGATATTGATGAATGTTTTGAAGGAACATCAGGATGTGATCAGATATGCAACAACACTCTTGGTAGTTACAACTGCAGTTGTATGATTGGGTATCAGTTAAACAGTGATGACCATAATTGTGATGATGTTGATGAATGTACCATCAACAATGGAGGATGCGAACAGATATGTATAAACACTAATGGTAGTCGTTACTGTATGTGTCAGGAAGGATATTCATTTGATAATAGTGGCACAAACTGTACAGGTTAGACATTGTATGTGTTTATAACTGACTTTATGATGATTACATAGATATTAATGAATGTATTGAAGACAATGGTGGCTGTGATCATACCTGTACTAATACTGTTGGCTCATATATTTGTAGCTGTGACACTGGATATAGTCTGAATACTGATGAACACAACTGCACTGGTTAAGAGAACATTAATTATCGTTTCAACCATTTTAATCCAATAGATATAAATGAGTGTGATTCCAGTAATGGAGGTTGTGATCAGATATGTAACAATGATGCTGGTAGTCATTACTGTAGTTGTAAAGTAGGTTACATACTGCATTCAAATGGAAGCACTTGCATAGGTAACAATATACAGCTAATGTAACACCATATTATTAAGAAATATAGATATTGATGAATGTATAGACAGTGATTGTGAGCAAATGTGTAATAATACTGTTGGCAGCTACTCATGTTCATGTAATAATGGTTATTTATTGAATAATGATGGAAGAAACTGCTCAGGTATGATTACAAAAATTATATTAACCTTATGTACTGCTTTAAATAGATATCAATGAATGCACTACTAACAATGGAGGATGTGAACATATTTGTATTAACAAGATACCATTATTTGATTGCTTATGCATGAATGGCTTTAGATTACAAAATAAAAAATTCTGTTCAGGTAAAAGCAAAATTTTTGAAATTAAGTATTCTCATTTTTAGATATTAACGAGTGTCTTGAACAAACATCAGATTGCTCAGATAATTGTGAAAATACAGAAGGAAGTTACTTGTGCAGTTGTCCAATTGGATATTCACTAGAACCTGATAATCATACTTGTACTGATATTAATGAATGTATCATTAATAATGGAGGATGTGAAGAGACATGTGATAATACTAATGGCAGTTACACTTGTTCCTGTGAGACTGGCTATACAGTTGATGATAGTGGTCATAATTGTACAGGTTTGACTTTCAAAGATATTTTAATACAAAAATATTTATGATGCATTTTTACAGACATTGATGAATGTAGTTCAAATAATGGAGACTGTGATCAGATTTGTACTAATCTTCAAGGAACTCATAATTGTTCATGTAGATCTGGTTACATCATGACAGCTAATGGAACATCATGCATTGGTACATTTAATAAAGAAATAAGCATTTACATGCTGTTTTAATAGATATTATTGAGTGTGATGATAATAATGGAGGCTGTTCTCAAATATGCTCAAATACTGATGGAAGCTTTGAGTGTGACTGCTATGATGGATATGACTTTATTGAAAATAGTACCACAGATTGCATAGGTACATTGAAGACTTTCAGTAAAAGTATGAGTTGTCATCATTATCAGATACTGATGAGTGCCTTGTTAATAATGGTGGTTGTCAAGAAATATGTATTAATACAAATGGAAGTTTCAATTGTTCTTGTCCATTGGGATACAGTGGCAGTGTTTTCTGTTCAGGTAAGTCATTTTTATCAAATTTACTACATAATACATATGTCACTTTAGATATTGATGAATGTCAATTGAAAATTTCAGGATGTAATCAGTCTTGTATTAATACTGTTGGTAGTTATTATTGTCAATGTGAATCAGGATACACTTTGAGCAACGATAGTCATTCTTGTATAGGTTAGTCAATTACATACAAAAACTTGAGTTATACCAAATAATTACAGATAATGATGAATGCATAATGGGAACTGATACCTGTGACCAAGTTTGTATCAATGAACCTGGTTCATATAATTGTTCATGCAATATTGGTTATTCACTCAAATCAAATGGGATTTCTTGCAAAGGTATTAAACTAAACTTAAAATTAAGACATTTGGTATGTTTAGAAATTAACGAGTGCATGCAGCAAACATCAGGTTGTTCACATGATTGTGAAAATACAGAAGGAAGTTACTTGTGCAGTTGTCCAATCGGATATCTACTAGAACTCGATGACCATACTTGTACTGATATTGATGAATGTACCATTAATAATGGAGGATGTGAAGAAACATGTGATAATACTAATGGCAGTTACACTTGCTCCTGTCAAACTGGCTATACAGTTGATGATAGTGGTCATAATTGTACAGGTTTGACTTTCTTTAATATTTTCATGCATGATATATACTGTGCTTTTTTACAGATATTGATGAATGTAGTTCAAATAATGGAGACTGTGATCAGATTTGTATTAATCTCCAAGGAACTCATAACTGTTCTTGTAGATCTGGTTACATCATGGCAGTTAATGAAACATCTTGCATTGGTACAATAAATAAAGATTAGATGCAAACATGCTCTTTTAATAGATATCATTGAGTGTGATGATAATAATGGAGGCTGTTCTCAAATATGCTCCAACACTGATGGAAGCTTTGAGTGTGAATGCTATGATGGATATGACTTTATTGAAAATAGTACCACAGACTGTACAGGTTCATTTAAGACTTTCAATAAACATTTAGTAATCACAAATAGATATTGATGAATGTCTTGTTAATAATGGTGGTTGTCAAGAAATATGTACCAATACAAATGGAAGCTTCAATTGTTCTTGTCCATCAGGCTACATTGGCAATGTTTACTGTTTAGGTAATTAAGTCATTTCTATCAAATTTACTATGCATACATATGTACATATGTCACTTTAGATATTGATGAGTGTCAATTAGGAATTTCAGGATGTAATCAGTCTTGTATTAATACTGTTGGTAGTTACTACTGTCAATGTGAATCAGGATACACCTTAAGCAATGACAGTCAGTCCTGTATAGGTTAGTATACGGTTATGTGAAACTTGAGTCATGTCAATTACAGATAATGATGAATGTGTAATGGGAACAGATATCTGTGATCAAGTCTGTAATAATAATCCTGGCTCACATCATTGTTCATGTAATACTGGTTATTCACTCAAAGCAAATGGGATTTCTTGTATAGGTATTAATAAAATGCATACCACATGATTTATTATTAAATTGCAGATAATGATGAATGTCAGATTAATCCTAATATTTGTGATCAAAGTTGCATGAACACTGATGGTTCATTTCATTGTGAATGTTACTCTGGATATAGATTGAATACTCAAGCTAACAATACTTGTTCTGGTTAGTTTATTAATATTTATAATTGATAACTATGATTTTTGAATATTTATACAGATATTGATGAATGTATTGAAGGAACATCAGGATGTGATCAGATATGCAACAACACTCTTGGTAGTTACAACTGCAGTTGTATGACTGGGTATCAGTTAAACAGTGATGATCATAATTGTGATGATGTTAATGAATGTAACATCAACAATGGAGGATGTGAACAGATATGTATTAACACTAATGGTGGTCATTACTGTATGTGTCAGGAAGGATATTCATTTAATAGTAGTGACACCAACTGTACAGGTTAGACATTATATGCACTGATAACTGACTTTATGATGATTACAGATAATAATGAATGCTTTGAAGACAATGATGGCTGTGATCATACCTGTACCAATACTGTTGGTTCATATATTTGTAGCTGTGACACTGGATATAGTCTGAATACTGATAAACACAACTGCACTGGTTAGAAGAGTATTAATTATCCTCTTGACTATTCTAACTTAATAGATATAAATGAGTGTGATTTGAGTAATGGAGGTTGTGATCAGATATGTAACAATGTTCTTGGTAGTCATTACTGTAGTTGTAAAGTAGGTTACACACTGCATTCAAATGGAAGCACTTGCATAGGTATAGCAAAATATTATTACTATAACATTGTGTTATTTTTAAAAATATAGATATTGATGAATGCATAGACAGTGATTGTGAGCAAATATGTAATAATACTGTTGGCAGTTACACATGTTCATGTTATAATGGGTATTTATTGAATAATGATGGAAGAAACTGTTCTGGTATGACCATATTGTTTTAATTATGTTATATTGGTGACATTGATAGATGTAAATGAATGCATGACTAAAAATGGTAATTGCGAGCACATTTGCATTAATAAAGAACCATTATTTGATTGCACATGTCATTTTGGATTTAGGTCATACAACTTTCAATTTTGTTCAAGTAAATTGATGTCAATTAAGTGTTGTTAACCTTTAATTAAAATTAGATATCAATGAGTGTATGGAAGGCACATCAGGCTGCTCTCAAAATTGTCAAGACACCCAAGGAAGTTACATATGCAGCTGCATTGATGGATATCTACTAGAGCCTGATAATCATACTTGTACCGATATTAATGAATGTATCATTAATAATGGAGGTTGTGAAGAAATATGTGATAATACTGATGGCAGTTACACTTGTTCCTGTCAAACTGGCTATACAGTTGATGATAATGGTCATAATTGTACAGGTTTGACTTTCAATGATAATTATTTTGATACAAAAATATTTATGATGCATTTTTACAGATATTGATGAATGTAGTTCAAATAATGGAGACTGTGATCAGATTTGTACTAATCTTGAAGGAACTCATAACTGTTCTTGTAGATCTGGTTATATCATGGCAGTTAATGAAACATCATGCATTGGTACATTAAATAAAGATTAGATGCTAAAATGCTCTTTTAATAGATATTATTGAGTGTGATGATAATAATGGAGGCTGTTCTCAAATATGCTCAAACACTGATGGAAGCTTTGAGTGTGACTGCTATGATGGATATGACTTTATTGAAAATAGTACCACCAATTGTATAGGTAATGTTTAGAATCTTATAATTATAATTAATGTTGCCATCGTTTAGATACTAATGAATGCCTTTTTAATAATGGTGGCTGTCAACAATTATGTACTAATACAAATGGAAGTCATTATTGTTCTTGTATACCAGGATACAGTGGCAGTGTTTTTTGTGCTGGTAAGTAAATTTTACTCTAATTGTCTATAAACATCACTTTAGATGTTGATGAGTGCCAATTGGACATTTCTGGATGTAATCAGTCTTGTGTTAATACTGTTGGTAGCTACTATTGTGAATGTGAATCAGGATACACTTTGAGCAATGACAGTCATTCCTGTATAGGTTAGTGAATTATGCTCAGTTTTAAAACTTGAGCTATTTATATAATCACAGATAATGATGAATGTGCAATGGGAATTGATACCTGTGATCAAGTCTGTATCAATGAACCTGGTTCATATGATTGTTCATGTAATACTGGTTATTCACTGAAATCAAATGGGATTTCTTGTATAGGTATTAAAAATGTATAACACTAACACATAATTTAAAATTATTTTACAGATATTGATGAGTGTCAGATTAATACTAATGTTTGTGATCAAAGTTGTATAAACACTGATGGTTCATTTTATTGTGAATGTTACTCTGGATATAGATTGGATACCCATACTAATACTACTTGTTCTGGTTTGTTTATTAATATAACTATCTGATATTTTCCAATGCTTATACAGATATTGATGAATGTATTGAAGGAACATCAGGATGTGATCAGATATGCAACAACACTGTTGGTAGTTACAACTGCAGTTGTATGACTGGGTATCAATTAAACAGTGATGATCATAATTGTGATGATGTTAATGAATGTACCATCAACAATGGAGGATGTGAACAGACATGTATGAACATTAATGGTGGTCATTACTGTATGTGTCAGGAAGGATATTCATTTAATAATAGTGACACAAACTGTACAGGTTAGACATTGTATGCATTGATAACTGACTTTATGATGATTACATAGATATTAATGAATGTATTGAAGACAGTGGTGGCTGTGATCATACTTGTACTAATATTGTTGGTTCATATATTTGTAGCTGTGACACTGGATATAGTCTGAATACTGATGAACACAACTGCACTGGTTAGGAGAATATTAATTATCCTCTTGACTATTCTAAATTAATAGATACAAATGAGTGTGATTCCAGTAATGGAGGTTGTGATCAGATATGCAACAATGTTCCTGGTAGTCATTACTGTAGTTGTAAAGTAGGTTACATACTGCATTCAAATGGAAGTACTTGCATAGGTAACAATATACGGCTAATGTAACACCATATTATTAAGAAATATAGATATTGATGAATGTATAAATAGTGATTGTGAGCAAATATGTAATAATACTATTGGCAGTTACACATGTTTTTGTAATAATGGTTATTTATTGAATAGTGATGGTAGAAACTGCTCAGGTATGATTACTATAATTGTATTAACCTTATGTACAGATTTAAATAGATATCAATGAATGCACTAATGATAATGGAGGATGTGAACATATTTGTATTAACAAGATACCTTTATTTGATTGCTTATGCATGAATGGTTTTAGATTGCAAAATGAAAAATTCTGTTCCGGTAAAAACAAATAATTAGACTTTTTTGAAAACCTTCTTATCTCCAGATATTAACGAATGTCTTGAACAAACATCAGGTTGTTCACATAATTGTGAAAATACAGAAGGAAGTTACTTGTGCAGTTGTCCAACTGGATATTTACTAGAACCTGATAATCATACTTGTACTGATATTAATGAATGTATCATTAATAATGGAGGATGTCAAGAAACATGTGATAATACTAATGGCAGTTACACTTGTTCCTGTCAAGCTGGCTATACAGTTGATGATAGTGGTCATAATTGTACAGGTTTGACTTTCATTAATTATTTTAATAAAACATAACTGTTCATTTTTTTACAGATATTGATGAGTGTAGTTCAAATAATGGAGACTGTGATCAGATTTGTACTAATCTTCAAGGAACTCATAACTGTTCTTGTAGATCTGGTTATATTATCGCAGTTAATGGAATGTCTTGCATTGGTACATTAAATAAGAGTGGGACATTAACATGCTCTTTTAATAGATATTATTGAGTGTGATGATAATAATGGAGGCTGTTCTCAAATATGCTCCAACACTGATGGAAGCTTTGAGTGTGAATGCTATGACGGATTTGACTTTATTGAAAATAGTACCACAAATTGCATTGGTACATGTACATTTAAGATTTTCAACAAATAATTATTCATTATCGCAAATAGACATTGATGAATGCCTTGCTAATAATGGTGGCTGTCAAGAAATATGTACCAATACAAATGGAAGTTTCAATTGTTCTTGTCCATCAGGATACAGTGGCAATGTTTTCTGTTCAGGTAAGTCATTGCTGCCATAGATATTGTAACTAAATTGTACTTTAGATATTGATGAGTGTGATTTGGATATTTCTGACTGTAATCAGACTTGTATTAATACTGTTGGTAGTTACTACTGTCAATGTTTATCAGGATACACTTTGAGCATTGACAGTCATTCCTGTATAGGTTAGTAACTTACGCTCAGTTTTAACTTAAACTATTAATTATAATCACAGATAATGATGAATGTGTAATGGGAACTGATACCTGTGATCAAGTCTGTATCAATGAACCTGGTTCATATGATTGCTCATGTAATACTGGTTATTCACTCAAATCAAATGGGATTTCTTGTATAGGTATTAATAAAATGCATAACACATGATTTAAAATTAAATTGCAGATATAAATGAGTGTCAGATTAATCCTAATATTTGTGATCAAAGTTGCATAAACACTGATGGCTCATTTTATTGTGAATGTTATTCTGGATATAGATTGGATACTCGAACTAACAATACTTGTTCTGGTTTGTTTAGTAAAATACATTGCTATACAATATTTTCCAATGCTTATACAGATATTGATGAATGTTTTGAAGGGACATCAGGATGTGATCAGATATGCAACGACACTCTTGGTAGTTACAACTGCAGTTGTATGACTGGGTATCAATTAAACAGTGATGATCATAATTGTGATGATGTTAATGAATGTACCATCAACAATGGAGGATGTGAACAGATATGTATAAACACTAATGGTGGTCATTACTGTATGTGCCAGGAAGGATACTCATTCAATAATAGTGACACAAACTGTACAGGTTAGACATTGTATGCATTCATAACTGAATTTATGATGATTGTTTAGATTTTAATGAATGTATGGAAGACATTAGTGGCTGTGATCATACTTGTACTAATACTGTTGGTTCATATATTTGTAGCTGTGACACTGGATATAGTCTGAATACTGATGAACACAACTGCACTGGTTAGGAGAATATTAAGCATCCTTTTAACCATGTTAATCCAATAGATATAAATGAGTGTGATTCCAGTAATGGAGGCTGTGATCAGATATGCAACAATGTTCCTGGTAGTCATCACTGTAATTGTAAACTAGGTTACTTACTGCACTCAAATGGAAGTACTTGCATAGGTAACAATAATATTATTAATGTAACACCATATTATTAAGAAATATAGATATTGATGAATGCATAGACAGTGATTGTGAGCAAATATGTAATAATACTGTTGGCAGCTACTCATGTTCATGTAATAATGGTTATTCATTGAATAGTGATGGAAGAAACTGCTCAGGTATAATTGCAACAATTTTATATATCCTTATGTACTGATTTAAATAGATATCAATGAATGCACTAATAATAATGGAGGATGCGAACATATTTGTATTAACAAGATACCTTTATTTGATTGCTTATGCATGAATGGCTTCAGATTACAAAATGAAAAATTCTGTTCAGGTAAAAGCAAAACATTTTTGAAAAAAAGTATTCAATTTTTAGATATTAATGAGTGCCTTGAGCAAGCATCAGGTTGTTCACATGATTGTGAAAATATAGAAGGAAGTTACTTGTGCAGTTGTTCAATTGGATATCTACTAGAACCTGATAATCATACTTGTACTGATATTAATGAATGCATTATTAATAATGGAGGATGTGAAGAAACATGTGATAATACTAATGGCAGTTACACTTGTTCCTGTCCGACTGGCTATACAGTTGATGGCAGTGGTCATAATTGTACAGGTTTGATTTCATTGATATTATAATACATACATATACTATATCCCAGTTCAGTCTGGGAAGGAAGTGGAAGCAGCTGCGTGGAATTTGAAAAATGTAGCACGTCACAAAAATGATGTATTTTAATGATATTCATAGAAGCATGGCGGCGTTGTTTCACTCTTAAAACAGTCTTGCTCTTCCTGATAAGCAGTACAACAGCTACTGGAGTCAACTAGTCTTCATAATGGCCATCATTATCAAAAGATCTTGCTCTGTTAGCTTTTAAAACAAGAATTATCAGTTTGCGCTCTCGACCACATGTTCTTATGTAAACTATGACCTGTAAATTGTCATAAAACGTCATTTTGGTATGCCATTGGGTTTATAGGGAGAACCCGGTTCTCAGGGTTCCCAAGAGCTGAGAGACCCAAGATTTCACAGATTTTGATGGACTTTGGCGACTAAGAACCTGTGAAAGTTTCATCCTTATTCCACATTCCTATAAAAAGTTATTCCAGTTTTTCTTGTCCCAAATTCAACTGGGATATAGTATAGATACATTATATTTTTA